TTTATAAATGTAACTATTATTAATGAATTCTTATGATTAATTTATGGATCGATTAAAAGTCATCTTTTGGAGATTACCGTAAAGACATTAAAAAAAAAAAAAGTCGGTATTTTACAAAAAAAGTATTTGATATTTTGAATAGTAGTACTTTTCTTGAATATTTTAGAAATTCCAGAATTTTTTTTTTTTTCTTTTGATTTCAATATTTTCAATAATTCATTTATTTTCATTTTCATCATTTTTTTACTTTCATTTCATTCAAAAAAAGTATATTAATACCATATATGTAATAATGTTTTTTCCATAAGGAATTGTTTATTATAGGAATAATGTTATAGTTTTTAATCCGGTAATCCGGTTAAAAATAGAAAAATCAACTAAGAGTTTTCTACTCCTTGTTGATCAATTATGAACACGTTTTGGATTTTTGATATATGATTGGCTAAACTTTATTTCACATGATTTATTTGAAACCCTCATATGACTTTATGACTTTATGACATGTAATGATATAATCATATGACATAGTCATATGAACTTAGGTAAAAATTTTAAAAAAATTTGTAAGTTTTTAAAAAATAAAAATTAAAAAAAAGTAAAAAAAGTAAAACCTATCGTCCCTCCCCTTTTTTACAAAAAAAATTTAGTAAGGTTCTTATTGCATCATACTTTTTTTTTTGCAAATTTTGAAAAAAGTTTGAAGGGTGCTTAACTTTTAAATTTTAAATTTTACATTTACGATGTATGAAATCTACGATATATGATGAAATTTACGATATATGAAAAACATGTTTACCCTAAAAATGTTAATTATTTAACAAATAACCGTTTTAAATATTTCCAAATTACAATTTTACAAACAAAATGTTAATCAACTCTGTCAACAAATAAAACAAATAAATAAATAATTTAATAAATAAATAAATATGAATTATAAAAGGTTAGTAAAAAAAATTTTAGCATTAAATGAATAATATACAATAAATTTAATCATTATTGAGTGTTAAAGAAAATAAATATTTAAATTAGCGATTAGAATTAAGTGGACAATAACCCTTTATATACGTCTCGTTAAAATGAATTGCGTTTAGGAATAGAGATATCGGTCGAAGACCGATAATCAATTTGGTAAATTGGAATACTGCGGTGACCAATAGGAATTAATGTTGATTTTAATATTGGATGTCTCAAAAATAAAATATCGGTCATTAAATTCCGCGTATTCCTCCTAATCGACTTAACAAAACCACTACGTCGACTGGAATGGTTACTCCTTTTATCTTAATAAGGAAGTTAAGTACTTTACTCAAAGGTCATTTTACATTAATCATCAGGGTGGTCAAATTGGAAGTTCACCAATTAAAATATAATATACACATTTGCCAAAGACAATTTATCAAGTAACCAAAGTTCATTATCAAAATAATCGAAATTCATTATCAAAACTTGAGAAAATGCTACTTAATTTTTAGAAGAGAGATTAAAATACATTCTTAAATTTTGCCAAGATGTCTAAAAAATTCACACCTGTAGTTATATATTACACAGTGAAATTCGATATAATGGAACCACCCGTTCCATTAGTAAAATTTGTCAAAAAATCCATTGTATCGAGAAATCCGTTATATCGAGTGATAATCCGTTCCAGATCCAATTCCGATATATCAAGACTTATGTTCCGCCGTTATATCAAGGTTCCATTTCACCGCGTATTAGAAATATTGACGATTTTTGATGCAGCACACCGCACTTTTTAATGCGTCTAAAACATTCAAATTCATAAAGATTTGAAAATTGCTTTATAATAACTAACTCATTAAATAATCTAAATATAATAATATATATTATATTCTCTTCCAAAGAAAAGAGTATACACCTACGTTTGTTAATTAGATTAATCTTTATGAGACACTGAGACTTTAACTTTCATTATTATGATATCTAAAGTCTTATCTTAGGCCAGTTTGACCGGCCAAACTGGTTATTGGTCGCGGCCAAATGCCAACACTGCCTTAGGCATTAGGATATTGCTGCCTAAAGTAAAGTGAATACCCTTAATATATAATTTCCATCTATATACTTATAAATCGGATTAAATATTAAATTCTTCAGTATTATACCCGGAGTACAAGACTTTGATGATTTCATCCAAAGTAATAACGGTATCATGTGATCGTCTTAAACATCTAACAAAATTTCACTTTCACGTGACGTTTTGGCCAAAGTTATGGCATTGACTTGGCATTATCCGGTATGGAATTATTTTATGTGACAAATAAAGAGATTTTATAAAAAAAATTTCAAAGTTCCAAGATTTACTTGGTAAAAAGTGTAAAAAAAGTGAAAATAGTAGGGGCGTGACACGGTGACATATTTTATGTGATCACGTGAAAATGAATTTTGGTTTTAAAATGAATAATTTGGTCACCGCGTCACACCTTTCTGTCCTATTATGTATTCTGGGAACTTCAATTTTTTTAGTGTAAGAAATATTATTTGACACTTACTATTTGTCACAAGCTAGCTTCTTAATGCAGTAATTCTGAGCAAAAAAATCCATCAATTCATGTGACATTAATAGCTCCCATATTGAATTGTCTTCTCATCCAAAATAAAATTTACTCCTTTCTTTAATAGAAGATAATAAGCACATAAGCAGTTATAAAATATTCTGTTTTCTTTTGTCATTATAAAGAGACTTTTTCTTTTTTCCTGGTGCGTAAACATTTAATCAAGTTCGCGAAAATAAATTGAGAAATTTTTTTAGGAAGAATATAATGAATGTACTATTTTTAATGATATTTTATTAAGCACATACGCTTTATACGCTTATATCATAAATTATGTTAGTGAAATTTCAGTAGGACAAATGATCAACCAATATTATGATTGACAAATATCCGATATACTGTATTTGTTTTCCTAAAAATGATTATTAACAAACATTATTTTTTATTTTTTGCATCAATCACGATCACGAATCAATAACTTTTCTATGAGTTTAAATGCAGTTGGTTTAAAAATATAACAATATTTATGTAATAATTTGATATTTTGTTATCTTTATTTATCGTTTTTTAAAAGATATATGTACAGTATATGGCCCGTGTATACTTTTTTTTGTACCGTAAATACTGTAAATAAAAATATAATTTTTGTCAGGGGTGCGGCGATGCGCATTTAATATAATTAAATTCGGAAGATCGGATCAAAAAGTGTTCTTGTTTACCAGATTATTCTGCAAAGGTCTTTTCTTTTTTTCCATTGAAGCATTGAAGTGGTAATTTTTTTGCCTGCTAAATTTCTAAGCTTGTATTTCATTCCATTCATTCCATATATCATTAAATAATTTTATGTACACAAATTTCTATAATTAAATAAACATTGGTTGATATTTTTTTATCCGTAATGTAAAAAAAAATATATCGTAAATATATTTAAAAAGACACCTAAAATTTCGTAAATTATCAAAAACAAAATAAAAAAAAACAAATGAAATAAAGTTGATTTGATAGAATTTATTCTATTTAAATTCTTTAATATCAAAAATTAAAAATAAAAATCAATCGTTTACGTTAAGATTTCATTAAGATTTCCATTGAAAATTCGATTCAATGTTTAGAAATAGACGAAATACACGAAATACACGAAATACACGAAATACACGTCGTAATTCTCAGCAACAAAATAATGATGATGATAATAATAATCGTCAAAGACCAAGAATGAGAAGACGACGAACGATAATGATTCGTAGGGTTATATTTATTACAAGGCAAAGAATCATTTTAATATTTGCCGAATTTATTAACTTACATTATTAATTCTTTATTTTATTTTATTTTGAAAAAAAAAATTTTCGATCGAAAAATGACTTTTCATTTGAATTTAAGAAAAAAAAAAAAAAAAAAATNAAAAAAAAAAAAAATATGTTAAATATTATGAATTTATCGCGAATCCTTTTATCATCAGACGTCGGTTCTTATTTATCTACACTAATAACATATGCAAAAATTTTATTTCGACATAAATTCCTTTTTCAATTAATCTTAGGCTCTTAAATTTTTTAATATGATATGATTTTATTCTCAAGCACAAGCAAAAAAATTTGAAAAATTTCCTTTTATTAAATGGTTTATTTAAAACTTTGGAATTCAAACGCGAACATAATTAGTAAAATGGTTCTCTACGCGTATTTAATCGGGTAGTAAATTTTAAATAATCAGTTCTCAAAAAACTTGATATCAAATCACAATAAAAAATGATAAAATGTGAATAAATGTGATCATCATTGCTTTAAATCTAATGCTGGTCAAGATGATAATGATCATTCATAAAATTCCATAACAAAGCAACAATGCTCACGTGATGATGTACATTTTATAGGGGTTCCTTAATGTACAGTGAGGGTGTACGATATTAACGTACAAACTGGCCGGAGTTAACGTTAACGCTATCACGTGCAAGTGCATAATTCCTAAACTCGAACGTTAATATCGTACACCCCTACTGTACGTTAAGGGCGCTCCATTTTCCATTTTATATTTTAATCACAAATTCACAAAACATATAAAATATTGTTAGTAACTCCCCGTTATTTTTATGGTGGCAACGAATTAATCTGGGTAAAGGTTATTCGATGCCTTGGGTGTTTGCATTATTCTTTGAATAACAGAACCCACTTGGACATGTTTTTAACGTTAAAAATTATTTTCTAAAGAAATATTATTTTGAAGAAAAATCGCGCATTTTACCTGATCATTCTAAATTCCAACTTAAGATATCCAATATCGAATCTGGACTAAAGATATTTATAAATCATACTAGTCGAATTTAATTCCCGGATATGATTTTTTTTTAAAAAAAAAATCAATTTTATATTAATATTTATCCCATCGGTATTATGTATACACCGATGGATTTTTTTGTAAATTATTCCACCGGTATAAAAAAAGTATAAAAAGTATAAAATCCATCGGTGTATACGCCATACACAATGAGATAACAAGTATTTATTTAATAACTAATCAATTTAATACTATCCTGTATACTATGTCTATTTAATAATTTATTATTCTATCCCTGTATACTATGTCTATTTAATAATTTCCCTGTATACTATGTGCTATATATATTATGTCTATTTCTATTGTTATTTCTTTTTATCATATCTAAAGCACCATACAGCAATGTAAATAATTCAATGTTCAAAATCTTATAATAAGATAATAATAATACATATCAAAATATAACATTGACTGAAAATTACAGAATTTGAAATTGAAGAAATAGCTGCAGAATTGAGATTAGCTTGAGGTTTTACGAATGGTTGAGGTTTGATCGGATCTGGATAACTTTCAGTAGCATATCTAAAAAAAGAATAATTATTTTGTGTCATTAAAAAAAAAAAAGTATTATTATTAATTACTTACCCAATAGTTTCTAAAACCGATTTTGTTTTGGGGCCGATCACACCACCAGAATAATTTCCGCCAATAGAAATAAAATCGTTAACGGTTTTACCAGGGGTACTTTTGTATGCCATTAGATAATCACTAGTATTGTTATAAGTTGATAAATCTACATGGGTTAAACTTGATCCAGCTAGATATTTTATAGACGTTTCTAATATTACAGCGTCAGTTACATTCGAATTATGAGGTAAAAAACCTAAAATTTTTGGCGTCGTTGCTAATGTATACACTTCATTCATTGTTGGAAATAGATTTTGTAAAAATTCTTCCTCAGTAGCATTCTGGTTGTTCACAACATATTGTTCGATATTTTTAGTATATTCAGTAATAGAGGTACCCTTATCTAATCTAATTATATATTTATCAAATATAGACTCTTTAACGGTTACAAGATCATTTTCACCAATATCATCGAATGCTCTATCATTACCACTATTAAGTAAAGCAAATGCAGGACATAAAGCTTTTAGGTTGTTAGCTTCATCATAAGGTTGCCAATAAGAGATAAATCCTAATCCATGAAGTAATTCATGTATTGCTGTAAATTCAAAATCATATTGTAATGGGCCAATTGGAGTAGTATCATCGGTAAAGTAAAAATCCATTCTCGAATTAAAACGAATAAAAATATCAAATTCATCATATTGTGGATGTTCAGGAAATTGAAATTGTTTAACCAATGCTTGTGGGTATATTCTTTCAATTTTATCATCATCTGATAATAATGAATATAATCTTTGTGGTCCTGCTAGTCCAATATGATGTTTTAAAGCGCATGTTTCGATATTTTCTTCGGCGCAAAAGTCCATTAATGTAGCATTTATCAAAACTTTTTCTTTAAATTTTAACGTATTAGCAATTGTATTACCGGCGTTAACAAATGCTCTTTGTGCCTTAGTACACATTACAGTATCACTTGTTGAACATGTAAAAGTTACTTGAAACATCGTTTCATTTCCTCCAACTAATTTATTATTATTATTAATTTTAACTTTATTAATATCTTTTTCGGTTACCCATTTTCCGCAAGCGACTTTTTTTACTCTTTTTTCATCTATCGGTTCAAAACATTGCGCGTAAATTTGTTTTAAAATGATGAAAAGGATTATTAAAAAGGAGTTTAACTTCATTTTTTTTCTCTTTTTTTTTTAGTTAGTGATGAAAAAAAAAATTATTAGATGGACCTTTATATTATCTAAAAAAATTTTTTCGGAGTTTTTCGGAAATCGGAAATCGGAATCGGAATAAAAACTAAAAAAAATTGATCATTTATCGGAGTTTCTCAGACAATTTTTTTTTATGTAGGGGTTAACCTCGTTTATGTACAACTATTTATTGAAGTATCGAAGAAAAATAGTTCCGATCTTGTCATATTACAATGAATAATAGATATTTTTCAAATATTTTTCAATGATTAGTAAGATATTATTCTCGGATAATTATTTTTAGATATTTTTCAATGAATGAATTTGGTATACTTATTATGGTTATGGATAATTTTCAAATCCGATTTGGAATATCATTCTGATTTTTATTAATAACTATTCGGTTTAATTATTTATTTACATTGATTGTACTTCAAGCATCACAACGGTTTACAATAATATAACAATAACAAATATCATAATATAAAATTGACTAAAAATTACAGAATTAGAAATTGCAGAAATAGGAACTGCGGAGTTATGCTTTGCGGATGATTTTACGAAAGGTTGCGGTTTAATTGGTTCTGGATATTCTTCAGTAGCATATCTAAAAAAAAAAGAAAGAAAAATTATTTTGGGTGTCGTTAAAAAAAAAAAAATTATTAATTACTTACCCGATACTTTCTAAAATGGATTTTGTTTTGGGTCCAATCACACCACCGGGATAATTTCCGCCAATCGAAATAAAATCGGTAGTGGTTCTACCAGGAGTACCTTTATATGCCATTAGATAATCACTAGTATTGTTATAAGTTGATAAATCTACATGAGATACACTTGATCCAGGTTGATAACCTGGTATAGAAGTTTCTAATATAACAGCATCATTTATACTTTTCGAATTATGAGGTAAAAAACCTAAAGATTTTGGTCTCGTTGCTAATAAAAACATTGTTCTCATTATTGGAAACTGACTTTCTAAAAAATCTTGAAGAGTTGCTTTTTCGTTGCTTGAAACATAATTTTGCATTTTTTTAGTATATTCAGAAATAAAACTGCCATTATCTAATCTAATCATATATTTATCAAATATAGACTCTTTAACGGTTAAAGGTTCATCAGGACTATCAGAATCTACTTTTCCATCTTTACCACTATTAATTACGACAATTGGGGGACATAAAGCCCTCAGGTCGTTGGTTTCATCAAAAGGTAAAGGTTGCCAAAGACTATAAAATCCTAATCCATGAAGTAATTCATGTGTCACTGTAAATTCAAAATCATATTGTTTTGGGCCAATTGGGGTTGTGTCTTCGGGGAAATAAAAGCGAACCCTAGAATTAAAACGAATTATAATATCGAAATCATCATATTGTGGATGTTCAGGAAATTGAAATTGTTTAACCAATGCTTGTGGGTATATTCTTTCCATTTTATCATCATCTGATAATAATGAATAAAATCTTTTTGGTGATGTTTCCCCAATAGTTGCAATAGCTTCTAAAGGGCATTCTAGATCATTTTTCCCCTCACCGCAAAAATCAAAGAATGTAGCATTTATCGTAACTTGTTCTTTTAATTTTAACGTATTAGTAATTGAATTACTGGCTCTATCAAATGCTTTTTGTGCCTTATCACACAATACTTTATCATTTAACAAACATGTAAAAGTTACTTTAAACATTGTTTCATTCCCCCCTCCAACTAATTTATTACCATCATTATTATTAAATTTTTTAATGCCCTTTTCGTTTATCCAATCCCCGCAATCAACTTTTTTTATTGTTTTTTCAAGTTTAAATGTATCTATTGGTTCAAAACACTCCGCAAAAATTTGTTTTAAAACGATGAAAAGAATTATTAAAATGAAATTTAACTTCATTTTTTTTATTATTATTCGTTTTTTGTTATTTTGTGAAAAGATTTTAGACCTTTTTTATACCTATTAATTCGGTACAACTATTTGGATGGTTTCATCGGAATATAGGAATATAAGGTTCCGTTTTGTCATCCCATTACAGTAATATTTTAATGAGCTAATTATAGGATTTATTTGTTTAGAAAATATAATAGAATATTCTTACGTACGAGACATTACACAACATATTTAAAAAAAAATATTTATATATAATTTAATTTAATTTGAACAATTTAAGATTATTTTTCCATAAGCTCTATGACTTTCACTTATTTCATGGGCTTTAACTCCGTCTTTTAAATCAAATTCGTGCCCAATGACTGTAACAATTTGTCTTTTCTCCATATATGTAACAATTTTAGGTAAATCTTTCTCCGATAAACCAATTATGAATTTGTAATTTCTTACACTGAACAATTTTCTTCCGAGTGTAACAGCAATGGCTTTCATAGTATTAATTGTTCCCAAATTATCACCATAAGTATCAGGTCCTACGGCTGTAACAAAATTACCTCCTATCCTTAATAATGGTATAGATTTATCATAATATTCGTCTCCACCAATACAATCAAATACTAAATCAATACTTTCTCTTTCTTCTTTTAAAACTTCTCCAAAATCTTCCTTAGTATAATCAATTACACGATCTGCCCCTAAATTTTTAACTAATTCTGCATTTTTACCTGAACAAATTGCTGTTACATGTGCATTATTGATAATTTTTGCAATTTGAACCGCGAAAGTTCCAACTCCTTTTTTTATAAAAAAAAGAAAAAAAGAAAAAGAAAGATTAATATATGAAATGTAAGTAAACAAAACTAAAGAGTATAGAACTGATGGGTGTAAACAGGGAAGAAATACTTATGAGAGGGATGAAATAATTGATCACTCATAATTAATTTAATCTTTACCTCCTGAGGCACCAATTACTAAAACTTTTTGATGAAGTTTTTTGGCCTCTTCATCAATTTTTAAATTGCCAAAAGAAATTAATCCACTCCATGCTGTTAAACTAGCCATACCAATTCCTGCGGCTTCTTGATGAGTAATTGAAGCAGGTTTCTTTAGGATGGCATCACTTTTAACATTAACCAACACAAATCTGAGGAAAAAAAAATAAAATAAATGAATATAACAAACTAAAAATTTTTTTTAACGAATTATATACATACTGCGCATAAGTTCCTAATCCACTAAATATATTTTTAGTTTTACCAAAAACTTCATCTCCAATTTTAAATTCTGTTACTTTATCTCCTTTTGCAAGAATTACTCCCTTAATAAATTTATAGAATAAGAAAATTTTTTCTTTATTAACAAAAATTCATTTAAAGAAAATTAAAAATATTTACAGAAAAATCAGACCCTAAAACAGCAGGAAATTTCAACAAAACATTAACTATTGGAAAATTTCCACTTCTAAGTTTATATTCAATAGGGTTAACACCAGCCGCTATCACTTTTACAATTACTTGATATGGAGAACAAAGTTGAGGAGATTTCACTTCAACATATTTTAGATTAGATGGAGGTCCAAATTCATTTAATTGTAAAGAATACATCATCGGAGGGACTAGAATTTATCAACAAAAAAAAAATAACAAAATATTTTATTAGTTAACTCCACAACTTTAATATTTTGACTCAATTTTAAATTACCTGATAATTCGCTCATTTTTTACAAATTTCGAAAAAGAAATGATTAAAGATTTTTTTTTTAAAAAAAAAAAGAAAAAGATTTTTTTTTTTTGATTTCCCACACTATTTTGTAATGATAAATATTTTTTGTACGTTTTTAATTCATAAAATCGAGATTCAACCGGCTGAGATTGCCCTAATTTATATAAATCATCGTATACAATTACGTTAATCACTGATTATGTAAGAATAACACTTACTTTTTTTCGAATATTTATTAAGACTTTATTAAAACAACAACTATCTTTGGCAAGAAAGAGAACCAGTTAAATCACATTCTTGTGATAATCCTAAAATTTCCTTATAGTTTAAGATAAAAAAAGCTAATATAATGTACCCGTAAAATTCTTTGATGACTTTTATACCACGATAAGTTAAAAACTTACAAATTATTCGTCAATATTGATTTTAAAGGAAATACATATTTGGAAATTTCCTTGAAAGTTGTTCGAATATGGCACATCATTCTGCCCAAAAATCAATTACGGCCTAATAACTGAGGATGCTTATTGATCAAAGTTCAGTAAATGGGTGTAAAAGTACTACGGGTTTATTAATTAATATTGTACCATACTACCCATATGGTTCCAAAAAAAGGAAGCAATAATTTCTGCAAACAAATTCAATAAACTTATTCCATAATCAAATTTAATTATATGGTGCCAGAATTAGCTAATTTTTGTGCAAATGTTCATGATGCCTATATTAATTACATTTCTATTTAATTTACTGTATGGATTATATAATAGTAAATAGAATTAAAAAAATAAAATTTTAAATTCAATTTATTTTTACTAAAATATTATGATAAATAAATTTAAATGGTCTTTTGGTATTTTTAATATACATAAGAAAATAATTACAAATATATTATTTTCTAGTCACCATATTTTAATATAGTTTAAGTATTATCAGTTATTAAAATAAATTATTTTATACAATTAATTTTTTAGTTTTATTTTTGCTTTAGAAATTTAAAATTAAATTTTTACTACTATAATACTAATTTGATTTTATTTTTTATAAAATATATATTAATTTTAAATTATAAAAAATTAATATATTACAATTTACAAATTTAAAATTTAATATTAAATAAAATTATTGTTATAAAAAATTTGTTAAAATATTTCTGGTAATTTTTACCAGTCTGATTTTTTAAATTTTATAAATATTAAATAAATAATTAATTACTCATATTAATAAACAGTTATCTAAAGGCTGTTTTCAGATAATTTTTTTTAAAAAAATGCAAAATTTTAATTTTTTTAATATTTTTATTTTACTAAAATAAAAATTTCAAAATTTTGTTATAGTTAATATTACTAGTTAATATATTTATTATTTAAGTTAAATTTTTATGAATAGTATTTTTTAATTTTAGCTAAAATTATTATAAACCAGTATTTTAAATTTTAATTTTTGGATAAAATTAAATAGTAATAATCATTAATAGCAATATCATTTTATATAAATATAAAATATTTCAAAAAATACTTTACTATAAAACTATAAGTGCACATTTTCTTTATATGTATTTAATAGCTTAATCCCAACTTGAAATTTAAAATTAAGTGTCCTTTATATTTTTATATATGTAAATGGTTCTAAATTTTAGGTATATTGAAATATTCTCTATAAATACATTTATATAATTATTGACCAATTATTAATTTTTTTAAAAATAAATAAATTTATATTAGATATTAAATAATTTGTAAAATATATTGATTTTTATTAATTTAAAATATATTAAAAGTATTTTGAATTTAAATAAATAAAAAAAAACTTTGAATTAAAAGTTCTGAAAGATTTTTAATTAATTATTTTTCTATTAACTATTCTTTAATATATACTATTTTTTTTAAATACATATATATAATTAGTTGCATTTATAAAATATTACTATATTTTTAACAAAAAATGATTTCATTATTTTTTAATAAAAAAATTAATAATTTTAAATTTTTTTAATATAAGATTTTAAATTTTTTTTTTTTTTATAATACTATACATTTATTAGAAAAGTAAAGAAAACTACAAATGTACAAAATATAAACAAGATATATAAAATATAATTTTAATAAAATACCCTTAAGTATTATTTAATTTTTGAATCAGATTTTTTGTATAATATCTGAAGTATTAAGACAGTAGTTTAATTTATTGTATATAATACCTAATATTTTACTAGAATTAAGTTTATAAAATTAAGAAAATACTAAATAAAAGTATTCAATAAATACCCAGATTTTATAAAGTAATATACTTTAGGAGAAATACTAGTATACTATATATAATATTAAACAGTTAATATAATAGAATCTTAAACAATACTGATACAACTTACATTTGAGTTTGCTTAGTGTTTATATTAAAATTTTCAAAAGTTGTGTATTACAGAGATATTTTCAAAAATTTGTTATTTTACATACCTCTATTTTTAATACAATTAGTGAGTAGATTTAAGTTGTTATACAAAACTTAGCAGTTTAAACAATTGTCAAATTGAAACTGTTTAAACTATTTTGCCAAAAAGTTAAAAAAATGTGAAACTGTAAAAAGTTTAGCAAATATTGAAATTTTATTAAATTTAGACATATTTATATTAGTATATAATTTAATATAGTTTAGCAAATAAAAGTTAAATTATATAGTTTATATAATTTAGCAAATAGCAAGTTTAAATATATAATTAAATTTGATATCAAAATATCAATTTATATAAGATCTTAATTACATTTAATAAAAAATATTAATTTTAATTTTAATTTAATATATATTAAATTACATTATTTAATAGTAATTAAAAGTATAATAACTGTTAAAACTATATTAAAATTATAGTAATAGATATGTTGAAAAGTTTAGAAAATTATTAAGTTTAGACAATGTCAAAATGTTTTGTCAATACTCAATAGTTTAAACTATTCTAATAAAAGTTTAGACTTTTGTCAAATTCTAAAATAAGTTTAGCCTAGCAACTTTAGAATAAATTTTAATAAAATTTATATTATTTGATTTAACTTAATAAGAAAATTCTAATAATAATAAAACTGCATTTTAGCCTTAATATTGATAGAGTTATGCCATAAAATGTATTTTTACTTTAGTATTTAAAGTTTATTTATGAGTTGTATTAGTATTATTTGGGATTCTAGTATAACTTTTAATAAACTATTTATTATTATTAAAGTTGGCATCTTAACTGTTTTTCAAATAATTGCAAAATTACAGCTGTATAATAAAACTTAGAGTTATGAGTTGCAAGTTGCAAGTTGCAATTAGTAAGATCTAGTTGTAACATTATTTTTATTTATTATCTTATATCTTTTATTTATATAAATTCTATAAATACATATATACAGTTAGCCTTATAAAAATTTAAAATAATTTGAGTAGCATATATAATATATACTGCTGTATAATAAAGACAGAAGATATAATCCAATCTTATAAATAAAATGTTAAAATTAAGCATAATCTTAAGTAAGATATAATACAGTTATTAAATCTATTAAATAGGTTACTTTTATAAAATGGCTGAATGACCAATATTTTACCCTTCTATCTATTAACTGATATTTTTATCCTTTTATTTAATAATTATAATATACTAATAATTATAATATATAATATATATTATATATTATATATTATATATTATATATTAAAATCATAAATAGTTTAAAATAACTTTAAATCACCAAAAAAAAAAAATCATTAATATTAGAGCTTCGTTATAATAAATCAGCCAATTAAATTCTTTCTTTTTACTATAATTTTATACACGAGAATAAAAAAGCTTTAATTACTTATATAGTAAAATAACCAACCAGAGTTTTTTCAATAATTTGTAGATAACAAATACATTAATATACTTGATAAAAATATCCAACCATTTGTGCATCGGTCATTACTCATAGCCAAAAATCAATAAGTCTCACGCTTGAAAAAAGCAAGTTTCGAAATTTCATCCAAAGAATAAATGTTATGTAATTTGAAATCTTTAAAGAACCCCTGTAATTTTTGTGTAATTTTGGTTGCTATTCTCAGCCTCATTGGAAATGGGAAATGGTTATTGTTAACAATTAATGGAATTTATGGAATTTATTTGATTGTTGGAGAATAGTGGTTTTTCTGCAAACGCTCTTTTTTCACAAATTGTTAAACTATAAATTGTAAATATTGTATATATTGTATCTATTTTTTTTATACTTTTATTATAAACATGGAATGTGAAAATGTATTTGGAGAAGGAATTCCATTTCGCGAGGGAATCCCGATTCAACTTTTAAATTACGTCGAAAATGAAAAAGATCGTAATGAATTCGGAGAAATTATTTTCAATGAAGAAGCTTTAGATATCATTAGAGGAATTGATGGACCCGTTGCAATTATTTCCGTCGGTGAGATATGCTTATAATTATTGTATTATACACAATTTAGGTTACTAACACTGTTAAACAAACGTTCATATTATATTTGAATAGTTGGATCGTATCGTAGAGGGAAATCATGGTTCGCCAATGTGTTACACGGTAGACATGATGGATTTATGTTGGGTTCAACAGTCGATAGGTGTACACAAGGAATCTATATGTGGAGTAAACCATTTGATTATCAAGGAAAAAGAATGATTGTATTAGATTGTGAAGGAATTGATGACCCAAAACAAAATCAACAATGGGCAACTAAATTATTTGTATTATGTTTAGCAATTTCGTCAACGTTTATTTATAATTTAAATGGTGTTGTTGGTAAAGATGATATAGGAAAATTATTTTTGATGACTGATTTAACAAAATTTATTGTGCCCCCTCCAGATTATAAGTTTTTACCTAAATTGGTCGTACTATTACGAGACTTCATGTTAAAAAATCCTGATGATTTTAAGGATTACTTTTTAGACAGATTAAACTCTGTGAATGAACAAGGTGCGTGTATTAGAAAAGAGAATTAAAGAAAAAAGTTTCATGATTTTACGTGAATTAATTTATTTTAATTATTATTTAGCTACTGAAGGAGTTAAGAAATATTTCTCGGATTTCGATGTGTTTGGGATTCCGGTAGCGTATCATGCACACATAAATATTGAAGTTTGCCTTGTGTTCGTTTTAAATAAATTTTTTTCGTATATCATAGATCCCGATGGCAGATCGGAATCAATTGCAAATATTGGATAAATTACCGACAGCAAGTTTACAACCAGAATTTGTTACTGAAGTGACTCATGCAGTTAACAACGTTTTATCTACATCAACACCAAAATATATTGGATCCTGCACTATGACAGGAGTATCATTTACAAAATTTCTTCAGGATTGCGTCGAAAAATTAAACGATACTTCAATTATGCAATTATCAATCCCAAGTGAATATGATTCTGTTGTTGAATACGTTGCACAAAGATCTATTAAGGAGTGTGTCCAGATGTATACTTTAAATATGAATAAGAAATTAAATAAGGATAAAGAAAGAAGTGATGATAGCTTACATGTTGATGTATTTAATTGGAAAGCTTTTAACGAAATTCATATGGAAATTTTTAGTCAAGTTGAAAAAGAATTTTTCAAGAGAATTATAGGAGATAGTATACAGATAAGGCAGTATGAAAATGAATTAAATAACTCGATTAATGAGCAATTTGAAAAATTTCGCAAATCAAATTCTGAAGCTTTATATGAATATAACATGGAATTAGCTAAAAAATTGTGGGAAAATAATGTGAAAGTACGTCTCTCTGCTGAAAATTTCTTTAAAGTAAATATAATTTATCCTTTTTTTTCTTTTTTTTCTTTTTAAAAAAAACCATATAGAATTCTAACTTGTTGCAATAAATTTTGAAAGGATCAAGAAGAATTTGATGATGCGATTGCAATTTTTGAGAGAGAAGTGATAGATACTCTAATTGAGGATTGCCCTGAAACAGAAAGGGTGATGGCAAAGATTAAGTCCGACGAGTATCAAGATGCAATCGCAACGTTAAAATCAATTGGAATTCTCAAAAATGAATTGGCCGAACAGATCAAATCAGTGCAAGAATCTGAACAAAAATACTTGGAATTTTCCGCAAATGAAAAAGAAACGAAATTTAAAATGGAAAAAATGCAAGTAGAGCACGAGGAAATAAAAAGACATCTTTTAAACAAAATCAGAGAGAAAGATGAAAATACTGAAAAACAAAAAATTACAAATATTGATGTATTAGAACGAGCTAATTATGACCGTGAAGTAGCATTAGCTTTACTCAATAGCGAAAAAGAAAAGGAGATTGAATCATTGAAAGATGAGCTTAAAAAAATCAAACAAAAAAAGGAAGTTTGGGTACAAATCATTCAATCCTTTATTCCTTTACTTCATACGGGATTAAAATTTGCAGCTTCTATTTATTTGGGTAAAATTTTTCATTAATATTAATGATTACATTATTATCTGGCGACCAAAATTATGCAGATCATCACATGTTGATGTAATATAAGAAACATATAATTTTGTACTAATAATAAAATAACAATAAATAAACTTTCATGCTTCAATTGCTTTATATCATTTCAAAATTTTTTGGAGATATAAACCTATTTATTACATAAATTTTACAATTTGCACAACAAAAAATTTAGAAGATTAAAAAATACCATAATTCGATCAATATTAATCAGATCATCACCATCTGAATCGTCTCAATGAGACGAATCTAATGAGCTAAAAATTATGAAAATCCAATCAGGGACGGACATCTAAACTTAATATCTAAACATTTTAAAGTGAAATTACGTGCCAAATATCGATACCATAAATGCAAGATTATTATCATTCAAATCCTCTCAATGAGACAAATGTAATGAATCTAAAATTATGAAAATCCAATCACTATGCATCCTTATAATGGAATAATAATGAAAATTATGCAAATGTGAATATTATGTAAATTTTTAAAGTTTGTGTAAGTTTGCATAGTTTAAAATTTAAAACAGTAAATTAAGGATATTTAGTTATCTAGAAAAAAAATCAATCAATAGCATATCTCAGAATTCAAGCAGTTATTGTTGCAAATGTGCAAATGAGAATAGAATTTATTATTAAATTTTTTAAATTTTTATTTAAATTAATAGATAAAGACATAATGGGTATATTTAACAAATTTTATCTCGGTTAGCCTCCTCAGCCCCAATTACATTATATTTAAATAATTCGTATAAGATGATTATCAAATTATTTTTTAATTGCAAAATTTTATGGCTCCATTATCATCGACGACAGCAAAATCCAAAGAATATCCCATAACACTTCACAATTCAACTTTAAATGGACAACTTCTAACATCATTATTGCCGTGGCAAACGATTTCATATCTACAATATTTTAGACACAGTGGAAGATTTACTTTTCGTTACGAAGGATTTTCTAAACTTGATTCATTAAAGGATTTATTAGTTCATTTATCCCGTCGTCGTAATGAATATTTAATCTCAGGAGATACAATAAAAAATCCTGGTTCAGTTTACAGATTTAAATTACCAACAATTTGTTCAATCTGTTACGAAGTTGGACACAAACCGGAAGAATGTAAAGTTATTGATATAACTCTTTCAAGAAGAATGTTAAATCAACGAGATATTGATATCATGATTGATCAAATTTTAGAATTTAGTTGCCCTGTTAGAAAAATTGCTTTAAGATTTAACCAAGTAGGATCAAAATCAATTGCAAAATTAATCGAAAATAATAATAGTACTATTGTTGAATTAATTTTAGGTAATACTATGATTGATGATAGTGGTATTCTATTTATTATCGAGGCGTTAAAGAAAAATCGATCCGTAAAAAATTTAACGTTGGATAACAATGATTTTGGGGACGAAGGTTTATGTGCCATGGCCGACCTATTAATGATAAACCAGACTTTGAAATCTATTGATTTGGCTCAACAAAATTCTGAAGTTTCTTTAAAATTTTTAGAAAAATTAGATAGAGCTTTATTATATAATACGAAATTAACTTGTATTTATTTTAATACTAAAGGTTTACAATTACGAAACTCATCATCAAATTTTAATCTTCAAAAATCTCAAATTCCTTTAGATGAAAGGAAGAACCAAATATTTTCAAGAATTGTAAAAAATCTTCAACAAAATCGTTTATTTGATTCCCCCACTACAGCCAGTATGATTGAATTAGTAAGTAAAGCGAGAATTTTATTACTAAATAATCTTAATAGTAACGTTTTAATGAAAGTTCCTCCCGAAGTTTGGATACAAATATTTAATAAATTTGGTGAAGAAAGAGGGTTATCCAAAAGGCAAGTTGATATGATCTTAAAGTACGCTGGTACTAGAACTACTCTTTCCAAAGATATAACTGAGCGAAAATTTTTAGAATCAATTTATACAAATAATATATTTTGGGAATAATTTTTGGATCTGTAAATATTAATAAAGTTAATAATGTTTTTAAGAGTTCCTCTTCGTAAAATACCGGCAAACTGGGTTTAATACATTATATATTTTATAAAAAAAAAAAAAGCTCTTATTTTGCTTATTTCAGTCAAGATTCTTAGAAATTTGTGGATACAATGACAAAATCTGTAAAAGTTATCGGGCAAATCTGGTAAGTTTATTTATTTTTTCTTTTGTCGCGAAAATATCATTTGTTAACGACATAACTTGGAGCAACCAAGAAAGTATAAACAATCCCCTCCAATCCAACACCTCTACCTTTTCTACTCAGTCTTGATCTTCTTTCTTTTGCTCTTCTTTTAATCACTATGATATCCCGTAAGTCATCAACCAACAATCTATTCAAATTAAAAAAATTATGCCTAACCTTATGTATGTTAACGTCCAATTGCGTTGTATCAATTAAATCAACATTCATTAATTTTCCGTCATGATGCAAATCTTTTGTTTGTCTTCCTAAGCATTCTTCACGCCAAATTATTTCTCCTATTTTCAATGGGAAATCTCTTGCATTTGAATATATTGTAATATTATCACAATACCTATTTAGTCTAGCATAACCTTGGCTAATAAATTGTTTTAAAGGTGCATCAGGATTAAGTAGAGTAACCGTCGAAAGCTTCATTAATGTACCTTCATTCTCTGAATAAATATTAGTGTCCCTCGTATCTTTGTCCAAGGAATTTCTTACTTGAAATATTCCTTCAAACGCCTTTGCATACTGAAGTGTTAACATACCACCCATTGAATGACTTAATATATGTACAGCGCAAAATCCTGCATCTCGAAGATCTTGTAAAAATAACCTAAAATCTAAATAATTACTATATGAGTTAGAACAGGAAAAACATAATTGTTTATTGTATATCATAAATATCATAATAAAGGATTATTACCATTAATCGCTTGTTCAGAAGATGCTTGCTTTTTGACTCCAAAATACCATAAAGAATTCGCACTAGGTGGTGAGAATACAAATGGTTTTATGTAACTAGGAAAGTCGCCCAGCGCAAGAAATTGTCCTAGTGTTTCCGTAGCATATTTAGGCGGACAGTTGAATCCATGTATGAAAATGATACATTCCTAATGAAAGTATGGAATTTAATCGAATTATTTTAAATATTTATAAAAAAACACGAAAAACACTACCATTGAGCTTCTGAAACATCCTGATGAATTAGACGATGAAGATGTGACAGATGGTCTCCACCCGTTTACTTCAAGAGTGTATTCAATTTCAGAATGTACACTATCGTTTTTTTTAGGAACTCTTTTTACAATTACTTCGTCACGTGAAGTCTTTGTGCTAATAGGATAAAATCCAGTGATTGCAAATCCGTCATTCTCCGCTCTAATGAATACTGATGATTGTGTCGCATCCTCAACATCAAAATCAGGTTCCATAGAAGTAAATGTCATTAAATTCTTCAAACAATTTTCGATTATCGGTTTGTTTGTTTCTTCATCTCTTGATTCCCGTGATCTTGGTGATAAAATCAACGTGGATTTTGGAAGATTTTTTAGATATTTGCCAGAAACAGAGCACTCAACAGAAGCAACTGCTATATCTAATCCGTTTTGATAGGGTCTAGGAAAAAGTCTCTGTTCATTCCATGGAGTATGACTATTTTTTACAAATCCAACTCGAACTGCGTGAAACGCGTCTCCTGTGCCTGAACCTCTCGACTGAAAGGGTCCAACAGGTACTCCATCTAATATTATCAAGTAGAAATACTTTAATACAAAGGTATATTATGTGTAATTATTATATTTTTCTTTTACTTTACCGTCCCAGACACCTAGAAGAAATAAAAATATTATTTAAAATGCTAGAATAAATTTAATAATGCGAAAGATATTGCTGTAATAATTTACCTTTTAAACATTCTCCATCAAATGAATCATCAACCCATTCACCACGTCCATGAGGTCGCCCATTAGCATTAACTTCACCAATATAAGTCACAGCTCCATGCCTGAACCAGAGACTATAACTTTCCCAAGCTAAATATCTGAAACATCCAACAGCATCTCTTCCATGAATATCATGAATATGTACATTACTTTCTTGCTTTATTCTCCACCACCATATTGTATCTAACCACTTAGCATTCTTGACAATGCGTGGATAAACATATCGAACAATGATCCAAATAAATAATGTCAAGCATTCAACAGCACCAAGAACTATTATCAAAATGCGTGCTTCGGGCGTTGACGCAAAACCTTTGTCTTCAGATACAAGTGAACCTTTGTTTATAATCAAAAGAATTATGGTAGCAATCGCTAACCTATTAACGAAAGAATTATTTATATAATTTATTATACGAGAATTCAATATAATATAAGGAATACTTACCAATAGAAGCACCATCTTACGATCTCAGTTATCTATAAATTAAAACATCAAAATATGACTAGAATTATCAAATTACGATCCTTACATAATAATATTAAGAGACCCACTAACCTTATAATAAACATACATGATTATCGTAAATGATATAATAAAAGTCACGAATTCTGGCCATCTTTCCCGCGTACCAACACTTCCTACAATGGTTTTAGTATTTTGTGTGAAACAAAATAACAAATATCATTTTATTAATGGTAAATTAACTTACTTAATGAACCACCAATTCCAGCTCCGATCAGTGATAAGAATACCAACATGAACATTATAAACCAAAATATTCTTGTATATGATCGTCTCCGATATCGACCTCTAATTTGTCTTTTAGATTTACGATAAGCCATTATTCGAAAAGACTTGCTTATTTCTTGCGTCGTTAAAACACGTTTTTGATTTGATTTGTTACCATTGCTTACATCAATGGTGATCATATTGATCATATTGCTCTTATCACTTCCCTCAATTGTATTCTCTATTTTTGATGAATTTGATTGAATTGCCAAATTTTGTTGAGAAGTCATGATTAATGCTATAACTCTGGGTTGATCTCTGATAATTTATTATATTACTGTTAGTTAAAAAAAAATAATAATTTTATAATTTTTAATTAGGTAGAAAAGAAAAATGTGTCCTTTTATAAATTCAGTTAATCAATTTCAATATTTGATCAACGTCATTATGACATGAAATTTTTAACTAATTGGAGTTAGCCATTTTTCGGAGAATCCAATTTTATATTTTATTCTAGCAAACATTTAGTAAAGCCCATTCTAATTAGTTTAATTAGTTTAACGTCCTTTCTGGCTCAAAATTTGAGGGGGATAATTTAAACAAACAACATTTTAAACATATTAAAAGACATATGTGAACATATGCAAAATTGGGGGGGAGGGCGTTAAACTAAAAATTAATTTGGAACGGCTTAATTTGATAATAAACAGTCAAGAAATAAAGATTAACAAATAACAAATAGAACTATATTTAATTATATTTGAGCTTGAATTAAAAATTTAGACTTCGTTTATCATTTCGTTGATCACCATTATACAATTGATGTAATTAAGATCGTTCCCCTCGAAGCCTTCTAGCAAGTTGAATATCCTTCGGTTGAATGGTAACTCTTTTTGCGTGAATGGCTGCCAAATTTGTATCTTCGAATAGCGCAACTAAATAGGCTTCAGCTGCTTCTTGAAGTGCTCCAATAGCAGAACTTTGGAAACGCAAGTCAGTTTTGAAATCTTGAGCGATTTCACGAACCAAACGTTGGAAAGGAAGTTTTCGTATCAACAATTCAGTGGATTTCTGGTAACGTCTGATTTCTCTGAGTGCAACGGTACCGGGCCTATATCGATGTGGCTATAAAATAAATTAAATAAATAATTGTGACAATCTCAAATCGAAAAAAAGTAATATCATTTTTGCTAAGCACCTTTTTTACACCGCCAGCAGCTGGGGCACTTTTTCGCGCAGCTTTTGTTGCAAGTTGTTTGCGAGGAGCCTTGCCGCCAGTTGATTTTCGAGCAGTTTGCTTTGTTCGAGCCATTGCTTATAATGGTTTATGTAATAATATATTTGTATGTTGAGTCTAAAAAAAAATAAAAAAGAAAAAAATTTTGTGAGTTATGTTCGTGTTTATAGGGCAAGTAAAAAATCATCTCTTTTTATACCTTTCAATTTTACGCGTCAACTCCCCAACAATTCGTGTTTTGCGTTTGCGTACACGAGGTCATCGCGACTAATAATATTTTTATTGATCGGCAATTTGTGTTACTCATTTCGTAATTATAAAATTCCGATTATCAAAAAAAAAATTTTATGAAACTATTACAATGGGTAGAAAGAAAAAAACTTTTTATAAGCCTTCAATTCAAGTTGAAACTGGAAACGATAAATATGACAACCAAGCTGGCAGAATAAAAGCCATAAATTCATGGGATGATATTGAGCATGATTCCGAAGATGAATGTAATTTATTCTACCGAAATTTTTGTTAAATACAATACTATTTATTAATAAAAATCAATTAAATAGATTATGAGGAAAGAGGAAAAATTTTATTAGACAATAATTATAGTCAAAAGCAAGGTAAATTTTATTTTATAATCTATTTAGTTTTATAATTTATTTCATTTATTCATTTTTGTATATAATAGACGAAACCGAATCATCTGAAGAAGAAGTATTTGCTTTGCAGACTGGCGGTACTTTATCCGAAGAAGATGAGAGCCAAGGAGAGAATCAAGAAGATGATTTAATGTCTTCGGATGCTGATAATGATTTTGATGAATTTGATTCACAAACCTGGGGTAATCACAAAAAGACATATTATGATGCTGATGAGTTATCAGATTTCGACGAAGCAAAAGAAGAGGAGGAGGAAGCATTGAGATTACAAAAGAAAAAGATTAGTAAAATGTCCGAAGAAGATTTCTTTGATGATGATAATTTGCTTGGAGTTGGATCTATTTCAGCGATGGATATGGTAACTCAATTTTTATATATTGAATAAATCTTAATTTTTAAAATAAAAATTTATCCTTTCTTTTTTTTGATTAATTTAGGATAAAGAACATGAGAAAAAACTTATGGAAAGACTTAATCAAGAGGTGCAAAAAGTATCTTTCGAAAAAGAGTAAATATCTTTTGATTTTTTTTGCAAAAGTTACTACTGATTCGATTATGTCAAACTTTTGATATTGACATTTTTACCCCCAAAAAGTGATAGTGAAACACAACCGAAAAACCAAGATCATTATTCTAATCTTTCCCGAACCGAGATTGTAGAAATATTACAGGATGGTTCACCTGAACTAATTGAATTATTAAGTGAATTTAAAGAACAACTCTCAACACTTAAGGACACATTAGCGCCTATATTGGAGAAGTAAGAATAATTTATGATTATTGTGGTAATTTGAGTAAATAATTTAAGTTTTGTTTTGTTTTGTTTTATTTTTTAATCAGAGCCAAGAAGAGAAACATTAAATATGATCCGGCAATGAAATTTTTGTCTATAAAATATCATACATTGTTGAATTATCTGACCAACATTTCTTTCTATTTTTTCCTAAAATCGTCCGGAACTCGCCACTTACGAATGCATCCAGTGATTGACACGCTTGTAGACCTTAGAACAACCTTGGACAAATTAGAGACATTAGAAAGTAAAATGAAAGATATAATTAAACAATTTGTTGATAGATTAGAGACAGACGAGCATACTGATAAGAGTGAGAAAGTAGAGAAAGGTTTTTTAAAAGAATTTTTATATATTTATTATTAATAAATGTAAAATGCATTAATTCTTTTAATATTACGTAGAAATAGGAGTTGGAGAAATAATCAATGAGCTGCCATCACAGATACAAACTAATTCGAAATTTGAGAAAGTTAAAATTAAAAAAAAGGAAAAAAATGAATCGATAAAATCCAAGCGTAAGAAAAAATTAGACGAAGAAAATAGTGAGAAATCAAAAAAGACGAAACTTCAAAATGGGTATATTAGAAGTGATGAGAGGGATATTAATTTATCAAATATGGCAGATACATTTATTGAACCGGAATTTGTGAGCTTCAAGAACGTGAAGAAGAATAAGCGAATACGGGTATTGTCTAATCTATATTTCCCTTAAAGAGATTATTCTTAATTTTTTTTCTATTTTTTTTTTTTGAAATTTAGGAGGATCTGGATATGGGAGATTTAGATGCATTAGATGATGTGGACGCCGAAGATAAGGCTCAAAATAGAAAATCATTGCGACATCATGTTGCAAAGATTGATCAGGTTATTATCACGTTTGGAAAATAGATATTATCATTTCATTGACTAATAATTAACTTAACTTAAATGACAGAATTTAGCTAAGCGTGAAAAGGCAATACGTCTTGGTGGTGATACTGATATACCTTATAAGGATAAGGATAAGAGTGTAATCAAATCAGTGAACAGTCAGAATGACGGTGATGACTTGGATAATTTGGATTGGAATGAAGACGATAATAAGATAGCAAAAGATATTGAAACTGGAGGTGATGATGAACTCTATTTATCCGTACGAAAGACTAAAAAAGCTAAAAAGGAAAAGGAATTTGAACATGAACAGTTGATAAAAAATAGTAAAAATGATGAGTAAGAGTTGTTGCTTTTTTGTTTCTTAATTCGAATTATTATAAAGTAATATTTCTTAAGTTATTTATTTATTTCCACAGAACCGTCTATGAAGAAGAGATGCTTCCAGATGGTTCTAAACGGCAGATCAATTATGAGATTCTTAAGAATAAAGGTCTTACTCCACATCGAAAGAAAGAGCAACGCAATCCGCGTGTTAAGCATCGTAATAAATATGAGAAGGCCAAGAAAAAGATCAAAAGTATTAAAAGAATTGTGGTTCGACAAGAGGGACCTTATGGTGGTGAGATAACCGGTATCAAAACTAAATTATCAAGAAGTATTAAATTCAATGACTAAGTTAATATACTGTATTATTTAATAAAGTTTCTTCTGTATTTAATTGTAAATTTTTGAATAATATAAATAGTTTTATAAATATGATTCTCATTTTTCGTTACATTTTGATAAATAATAAATTACAATTCGGATTCCTTATTAATTTGTTAATTTTGCCTAATTTAAGATCGTTAAAAAATGGGGTTTTCTTGTGCAGATCCGAATATTGTAACATTGTTAGTTGAATGAGCCAATAAAATAAAAAATGGAACTGATTAACTGCAGTGGGAAGAAACACCGCATACGTTTTGCAATTGACGTAAATTTTACTTCTTAGCCGCATACGGCTAATTTGGTAGGCCTGGTGAGACAAAGGATTTAGTTTAGGTGTTTTCTTATAATTATAAATAAGAGGCTGTTTTTGACAAAATTCTTTTTTTTTGAGTTTTTGAAAAACAAACTCGAAAAAAAAACGATTTTCTCTGGCAATTTTATTCGAAATTATTTTTTTTAAAAAATATATATATATATTTTTTTTACTAATTTGCAATGATATAAAATTTGAGCGAAATTGAAATTATTATATAGAAAATTAATTTAGAGTTATTTTAGCGATGGATAAATACAAATCATTTTATGGAATTTTATTAATCATTATAATTTTATTGAATTTTGTATCTGTTTGTGCGACAAATTCAGGCCCAAAAAAAAGTAAAGGCACTGATGGAAGTGTTGACAGTGGCAGTAGTACAAAAACTACTAAAAGTGGAGACGAAGCAACTCCCAAACCAACAGATACAAAATCATCAAAGCCTTCGGAAGGGGGAGCCCCTCCAGCATCGTCACCGGAAGGAGGGAGCCCTCCATCAAGTCCAGCAGCTACTTCAGTTTCGCCCCCAGAAGGAGGAACATCGCCTCCGGAAGGAGGAGCCCCTGGAGCTCCATCGACATCACCTCCAAAAGGAGGTGCATCCCCTCCGGAAGGAGGAGCCCCTTCAACATCACCTCCAAAAGGAGGTGCATCGCCTCCAGAAGGAGGAACGCCTTCAACATCTCCTCCTGTTGGAACAACTCCGGGAGGGGAAAACAATGCAACAATACTTGCATATGTTCTTTTCTCAAGTTCTCCTAGCACCACAACAGTAGGTAGACCAGAAGTTAAAGGGTTAATATCATTATATCAGCCACCTAATGGAAATACTGTAGTTACAGGACATATAGGTGCAATACTTAATAGGATAAATGGAAATTATAAGTTTACTATTAAAGGTGGTGATGGTACCATTTTATATGATTGTACTGGACGGGTTAATCCTTTATTTATTGGTCAGGCTTCTTTATTCAGTTTCACATGGAATGAAATTAAATTATCTGGTCCTAAATCTGCTATTGGAAACCATTTTGATATTGAAGAATCTGGAGGGACACTTGTAAATGGCCTGATAGTAGAGGAATTTAAAAATTGAAATAATTTTTTTTTTTAAATTTAATAAAAAAAACTATTAGATAGTTAAAAATTGTAATTTTATTTTATTAAAATAGACTTGTATAATAAAGTAATAAGCTTATTTATGATCTATAACACTGATAAATAGAAACGGGGTTATTTCATTTCCGGATACCTTAAAAATAGTGATACAAAAGGTTTCTGCGGTCCGCAAAATCGCTTTTGACTTAGCTTAATTAGTGATAGGTTACTGATATTGTATAATCATTATACTTTTTTTTTACTCTCTAAAAATAGATTTCAAACGTATTTTCCTCAACTTCATATGGTAACAAAGATTACACTTAATTTATTCATTTGTAAACATTGAACAATTTGAGTAAAAATAGTAAAAAAAAAATGGAACCCGGTATTACATTGATAGGTTTTCATATCATTTTGTGCTTTTCTTTTTAACGACTAATTTTTTTCTTTCAAAAAAAAAAAATATATTTCCTTTTGCTATTGACGAGTTTGTATATTATTTTTTTTTTTTAATAATTAATCTTTGGAAGTACTTTAATAATTTCAAAAATGACCATATACTCGAAAAGAAATATATGGTGCACACTTTTCTTATACTTTACTCTAGTTCAAGGTATATTTTGATGTTGACTGCAGTGAGACATTCTGAAAATTTGGAACAAGCTAATTTATATATTTTTTATTTAAATAGTTGCTTATAGTTTAACTAGTCATTGTATTGACGAAGTAGGGTATTGTTTTACAATTACACTTCCACAAAGTAATGAAACTCTTGTACATTTCCGTTTAGAGGCTCCTAATACGGCCGGGTAATTATCTCAGAAGAATTAATTAAAAGAATTCGTTCAATTTTATTAATTAATTGTTTCTTAAATTGTAGTTGGCTTGGTTTAGGTATTGGTCATAATATGGACGGATATTTGATGGTAAGTAGTGACAACGATAGCCTGCTGTTTATAATTTTGTTTCTAAATTGAATCATTAATATGCTTATTTTGTAAAGGTCGCTTGGGCTAATAGTGATGGCAGTATAACACTTTCACAGCGTATAGGAGAAGAAGGAACTCAGCCAATGGCAACTGATCAACAATCTGATCTCAAACTTAATATGGATACCAGTAAAATTAATGAAAATAATAAATTTATTGTAGAATTCACTCGTCCCCTTAAAGTTAAGGGCAGTAGAATTAAAAATAAACAAAACTTTGCATATGCATATGGTACATTAAATCCGGAAGATAAAGATATCGATGCTTATTTACCACGTCATGATTACAGAGGTAATATTATATTAAACCTTGCGGAAGGAGGCAGCGAATTGTCACACTATGATAAATTGATAGTTGCTCACGGTAAGTATCGGTATGTAATTTGGTATATTATGACAATTAGGTCACCAGCTACTAATTTAATTGTTCATTTAAATATAGCTGCTTTGATGTTTTCCGCCTGGCTTATTATCATTCCTGGTGCAGTATTCATCGCACGATTTGCGAGAAATTTTCTTCCAACAACATGGTTCAAATTACATGTTGGCATTCAAGCCTTTCTCTCACTTCCTGTTATGTTGGCTGGTAGCGCTCTATCTTTCGCTGCTGCCGGAAATCTTAAATTTGATGATCCTCACAAGGTGAATACAAAACTACTTAATTAGTTACTCATTGTGATATTTTCCTAACAACTTATTTCCTTCCCTTAAAGATCGTTGGATTCGTGCTTTTCCTTGGATTCTTTGTACAACTAGCAATTGGTGCAATCCATCATCATTTGTACGATCCAAAACGCGTTCATATTCCATGGTGGACTCAACTTCATTGGTAAGTTTTTGATCCTAAATTTTTAAAATTTTCATTTAAATTATTTAAATTACTTATTGCAATTTTTTTTTTCTAGGTGGTTTGGAAGAGCTTTAGTTGTATTGGCTGCTTTTCAAATTCCACTTGGACTCAAACTTTATGGAGCCGATATGGTCTATTATTATATACATTATATTTATCTATTTATTATTCTTGTTGCATTTTCCTTCTTATCTTTCCGATTATGGAATAGAAGGCAAGATAGTGGATTTAAACGTATGCGAGATTCACAAGATAATGGATCTAAACATGAGCAAAATTCTTAATTGCCATTTAAGAATGTTCCGTTTATTTAATGATATAAAAGAAATTAAAATATATATATATATATACACACAATATTTATGGATTGATTATTATTGAGTATTGTACTTATGTATAAAGTAGTTTATAAGTAGTTTTCTATTCTTTTTTTTTTTATTAGATATAATTATAAAAATAAAATTAGTCCTTTTATTTAAATTTAATATTCTAACCAAATAATAAACATACAATAAAAGAAAGTTAAATAATTTTATTTATCAATGAAATCTTTTTTACAATAATACAATAAATACGTTAGTATTTCCACAACTATATTAGCTATATCAGCATCCAGTGGTTCAATTTGTACGAACTTTTTTTGTTTCGTAACTCTCATCGAGCTCTACAAAATAAAAAAAATCCACATGAATCAGATCACTGAATACTGAGATAATCACAAAAAACGGAAAATAAAAAAAGAGCAAATTGGGTCTTTTTTTGGCAAAAAGTCAGTTGTGAGTTCTATAAGAGATGTCCGGGGTCCTATATAGATCATTAAAAAAAAAAAATAATAATAATTTTATCTATATATTAATTTTATAAAGTATAAAGGAAAATGTTATTGGTAACCTATATCATCAGTACGACCTTAAATTATGTGATCAAATTTGATTGATTAACTAATATTTACAATTACGTTAGTCTTTAGTTTCTTTATTTTCATTTTACTTGTTTTATTTTTTGATTTTTTTTTCGGTTTATTTCCTTTCTCTTTTTTTGATTTTATTTTTATTTTTTTTTTTTGATAGGTTTTTTCATTCTTTCTTGCTATTTTTTGTTTTTTCTTTTTTTTTAAGTCTTTAAGTTCTTCCAGTTTTACAATCAAAGTACATCTTTTTTTTTCTGCTTTTGTTTTTTTAATTTGTTCTTTATTAACTCTCTATGCTGTTCTTTATCTCCTTTTTCTTGATGCATTTTACTTTTAACTTCACAGGTTTTGTTTTTATTTTGTTTTTTAACTTTCTTTATGGGTTTTGTTTTTCATCTTGATTTTGTTTTTTACTCTGTTATTATCATTTTTTTTTATATATCAAAATTACTAGTTCTATTAAAAATAAAATATAAACTTTACAATATTTCTCTATTAATAAACTTTAATTAAATGATTTTAGCCATACAGTATATCATTATTTTATTGTGTAAAATCAAAACTTTTTGCAAATTAAAGTGTTGTGAATTTTTAACGAAAATAAAAAGTTGTCCAATCAAAATATAGTATAAAGTCATGTGATTAGAGTCACCATGGCAACATTCACCATGACAACAGAATCGCTATAAACTAACATCTTTTAAGTATAATACTTGTAAAGAAAATTAATAGTGTTAATTTAATACAGAATAAATAAATAATACTAATTAAAAAACTTTGAATATAATCAATTTATTGATTTAAAACATTGATTTATATCTGAATATACACTTTTATCTTATCAGTACTAAAAAGAATTTTATATATATTTTTGTAATATAAAATATTTATTTTACTTTACAATATATTGTTTATTACAAATTATATTTAAATTGTATAATTAATTGTATTTTTAGTATACATTTAAATAAAAAAACTTTTTTTAAATACTTTTTATTAATAAATTATTAGTTTTTCTTTTTTAAACTTTAGTATAATAAATAAAATCATGTGATAAAAGTGAAAATCACCTCTAATTCTGGCAAGTATTCAAAAAAATTGTATATAAAAGAATTTGGTCTAAAAGCTTTTAGCTTATTTTTTAGTGATGAGTGATTAGCTGAGTTTATAAATGACTGGGAACTTCGTTTACTTATTTCCCGGCCTCATATAGATAGCCGGGAAATAGTTAAAATAATTAATATTAATGAGTGACACGCTCCAGGGGGGGAACGTTAGGGGTTTTTTCCCGAAGGGAAAAAAACCCAAAATTTAAAAATATTTTATAAAAATTGCTTTAATACTTAAAGTTCAGAAAAACCAGAAAAAACCAAGAAATATATTTAATCTAATGTATACAATTTGCAGGTTGAGTGGGTGTTTTGATGTAATTAAATCCTCGTACATTAAAAAAAAAAAATTTTTATTAATGATTTTGGTAGTGGATAAATGTGTAGATTGACAAAAAAAAATATTAAAAATTATTATTATTTGAATAATATACAATATGCAATATGTTTTATTTAGCAATTTTATTTATGGAAAAAAGTTATTAACAATTAAATTTTTTTTTTGTAATAGCATTAAAAATATGATTAATATTAAATTCATAAAACAATGGTAATAATATTAGATTTTAAACCACATAGCATTTTGTTACTACAACAATTTCGATACGTGCTGTAAGTTGTTCAAATAGTTTACTCGAAAAGTCTCAAACGAAATACTCAATAAGATTTTTTTTTTAATGATGAGATTAGCATTCAACGCAATAAAGTTGTTCCGTTCTACTAATCAAATACTAAATCATACAAAAAAAGTTTACATTTAAAAAAGATAAAATTACAATATATAAGATATAAATACTATTAGATGCTGCAAATCCACCTATAATAATACTCCTCACGCCCTGTATACATCTTGCTTAATCAAATAATATATAACAAAATAATAAAACTAAATATATTAAGCAATTTCTTTTAATTTTGAATTCGTATTTTTCTTTGCTTGCAAAACTAAAATACTTGCTGCAGTACCACCAGATAAAAATGCTTGTGCTATATCACCTAATGATTTACGTGTATCACTACCATAATCTCCCAAATTTTTGAGTATATCCAAGGATTCTGCTTTATGACTAAAAGTAACATCATTACGTCCACGTCCAACCACAATTAAATCCTTACGACTGACTATATCTTTGGCACGGTTAACTGCTGTTTGTAGAGGTGTAGATGACGATATCTCCGTATAATTTATTCGAGCATTTGATGCTACAACACCCGTACGTGACTTTAAAACTTGTTTTAATAACTCTTCATCGGCATCATCAGATGCTTTGCGTTCGTCATTCGAATGTAAAATGTGAGCAGATGCTGAAGATATTTTGTGTGCAAGTGGAGGACGTTGAACATCTTCAGAATCTTCTGGTATTTTATCTCCGGTCTCAGTCATAAGTGTATTGTTTTTTAATATAGTATCATGTTCGGTAGGCTCAGAAGATTTAATGATTCTAAGAACATCAACTGACACATTTGGATGGTCAAGTAATTGAATGACAAAAGTCAATGCCTCACGATCATCAATGCCACCGAAGAATGGTAAGAAAACGCGAACTGATATGCTAGTAATACTACTTTCCTTCTGATTTAAAGAGGAAACACCAAGACCACGATCTACAAAGACACCAACATTTGCTCTGTTAGTTACTTCAGAGAAGACCTCTTGAGTGAAAGACGCGACTTGTGGACTTGTTTCTTTCTTTTCTCTTGGTCCAACAAATGGATTTGACTGATCATCAATAACCGAACCTGCGCCACCCCAAGGAACTATTACTAAATTAGCATCAGTATCTTCAGCCCTTTCGGCAACGTGCTGTGCAAAGTCTTGTTGTGCAACAACAGCAAGGTTTGCTTTGACTTTAACAAAATTCAATTGTCCAAATGATCTGAAAAGATTCATGATCGGATCATGCAATGTTTCTTCAGTTTCACTGATCTTCATTACAGTAGAAATACGTTGAGTTAATTCAATGAGTCGTAACACATGGACAGTAATTGATGCATTCGGTTGAGTTTGGACAGTAGCTGTTTTTTCATTTTCTCCCTTTTCTTCAACTTGTTTTCTTACAATGGCTGATAGTGGTTGCAATAATTGTACGAGCATCATCATTGGCGGAAGATATTCAACCTTATTAAGAACAATTAACAATCTATTCTTTTTTGTTGAGATCTCATCAGTACGATCGCCAGTTCCTTCTGGTTCCAAATGACCGATACGTTTAAGTTCCATTTTCCTTTGGTATTCATGTGGATATAACCACGTTGCTAAAGGAGTAGTTAAGATTGTAGTAACCAATGCCCTTAAAGAAACAATTATATAAACAAATTAATATTTTGTTTTCCTAGAAAAAAAACTAAAAATATGAAAAATCTATGCTTACATGGCAACCATGATCACAAATATTTTACCATTAATAACTCCTGCGTCATATCCAAGGTTGAGTACGATCAACTCAACAAGACTTTATATAAGAATATAAAAGAAAATCAAAATCAGTATTGTTTAAATAATGTAATTTTCCATTGTCATAATTTGTACGTACCCTTTACAACTCATAAAAACACCTATTGTCAGGGACTCTCTCCAAGCCAATTTGTTTAATCTGGCCGCAAGTGTAGCGCCTGTTATCTTGCCAACCATTGCAACAATAATCACCAAAATGACCCACCCCCAGGATGCCCCATCATTCAAGAGACCAATTTGAGTTTTTATTCCAGACAAAGCAAAATACTAAATAAAAAATATTATTAATTAATTAATTAACACGTTAAAAAATTTTGTAATAGAATAAATTATACTTACAATTGGCAAAAACAGAACATTGACCAAATCTTCAATCTTTTCTGTTATACCCACAGCGAAACCACCTTCATGTGGAATAATAACACCAACTAAGAACCCTCCAAAAATTGCGTGCACGCCAATAACATTTGTAACAAATGCAGATATTAACACGATGGATAAAGTAATAACCACCATCATTACAGTAGGTCCGTTATCATTACTACCAGTCTTAACAATGAGTTTTAACAAGATAGGACGTATAACAAATATAACTATTAATGTCCAAGCAATTGCCAGAAGGAAGACATATAAAGCGATTAGTGAATTAGAAGCATTAACGATGGTGACTACTAAAGCCAATAAAACCCATGCAGCTACGTCATCACCAACACCCGCAGTAAGAGCAGTAGATCCAACTGGTGTTCTAAGAAGTTGAAGTTCCGATAAAATACGTGCAAGTACTGGAAATGCCTATTATGAATAATAAAATACCTATCAATTTAAGTGTGTGTGGATTAATAAATATTTAATTGAACTCATCTTACCGTGATCGACATTGCTACACCAATGAAAAGTATAAAACTGGAGAAAGTTGTTTGACTATCATTACCCATCGCATGATATAATCCATAACCAACGCCAATACCCAAGGCAAAAGGTAACGCAATACCCGCGGCAGAAATAGTCAATGCTACTCTTGCATTCTTTATCAAGGCTTTTGGGTTCAATTCAACACCAACGATGAATAAATACAAAATTAAACCCAACGTAGAAAGTAAATTTAAGTTGGCTCTAGACGCTTTTGGAAAAATTGCATCATTAAATCCAGGTATGCGTCCAAGTACTGATGGTCCAAGGATAATACCACCAATAATTTCTGAAATAACACGTGGTTGTCGAAAGCGCGACAAACCAAAATGGAGAATACGTGTAAAAAATATGATCAAAATAACCTTTAATGAAAATTAATCCGATTAGTCACAAAAAATAATGTAAGAAACAATGAATTTATTAATATTAAAAATAAGAAATTACTTGTATTATAAATAAAGTTATAGGATCATTTTCATTATAATGAGTCGGTACTGCGCCAGAAAGGACACCACCTTGTTCTGTAGCAACCATTTTATGTTAGTTGATATATATATATATACAATATAAAATAAAATCCTTAAAATTAGATGAATGAATGAAACATAAGAATTCACTCAAAAAAATTTGGAATCATTAATTAAGCAAATATGAATGAAAGAAATGTTCCCTATAGTAAGGACGAGGAAAAAAAAGATTTTTTTTTGAAAGAGTTTATAAAAATTTTTATAGGTCACACTAAAATAAGAAAACAATAGTAACAAAAAAAAATATGACGCCGTTGTGTAATTCTTAGAATTCCTCAACAAAAAAGGGGGCCATCATAAAAAACAAAAACAATTCGTAATTTACACAAAAATATGGTGATATTCCTTATAATTATTACTCATGGTTCATTGACTCTTATAAATTAATGTGAGAAAAATGTGAAATTTAAGTTCCATTTATCCTAAGAAGGAAAATCAGTAAACAGCTTATCTATGTTCCACATAAAAATGTAAATGTTTTTAAGTGGTTGAATTATTTTTTTGAACAATACTAATTTTAATCTTGTTATAAAATTAGGAGTTCGAGATGTTTGGCGTTTAACATTCGCCAGTCAAAAATGACATCAGATAACTAATGTGCATCAAGTCATCAACCGGCAAATATCTGTAGATTTTCGAATGTGGTGGATATATCAATAGTGCTTATTAGTGTTATAACAATTTCCTAATTAATAATATTAATATAAAGTTATCAACAAAAATACAAGTACAATATGGTAACGATAACTATTAGACTCGGGTAGGTCCGGTGACTTCCTGTTTTTGGGTTTTTATAATATTAATGATCTGAGATTTTAGATAACGAAATTCCAAACTTTTACTAAAATGTATTACTAAAAAAATTAAAATACCGTTTATATAGTGGCTAAAAAACTAAAAATAAGTTGTTCTAATTATAGTAATATCTTATTATTTTATACTTTCTATGTTACTAAAAAATTGTCTGTCTAATTTAATATTCTAATGAATATAATTAGTATTAGAAAAAAGTACAAATCAAAAAAAGCAAATTTTTTAGTATATAATCCAATTTAATTGTGAATTCTTTATTTCATTTTAATATTTTATTCTTATAAAATAATTTATTTATAATATATTATAAACAATTGTAATTGATTTTACATATAAATTAATATAATTTCAGTTAAAATTATGTTTAAATTTATAGTCATAATATTTTATTTAAATTAACCTAAAAAATTAAACAAAATAAAAAAAAAATTTTTGAAATAATTTATTTGATTTTACTATTTAAATAATTACCAATACTTGCAAAAATTAAAAAACTAAAAAATAATAATAAAAAATAAAATTTAAAAGTTTTAAAGTAAAATACTTTGAAATTTATTTAAAAAGTAATTTAAAAACTGAAATTTATTAATATCTATTAATTTAAAATCCAAAAAATTCAATTTACTAATACTTATTAAAAAAAAAAATCTTTAAAAATAAAGAAAAAATAATGACATTTAAAAAAAAGGAAAATCAAAATGATCTGTATAATAAATTACATCAGAAAATCTTTGATCAGTATTTAAGAAATTTTATAAATTAATAAAATATTAAAAAGGTAAAATTTGTTAAAATAAAATTTCAGATAATTAATATATAATTTATAATTAATTTAACTAAAATTAATACTTTTTATTCTTTTAATTTTTTGTAATTATTTTAAATAAACTTTTTTTATTTTATAAAATTTATTAATAGCTATAATTTAAAAAATAATCAGTTGAATTGGATTATTAGATGATAAAATAATTGCAAAAATTAATTTTTAAATTTTTAAATTTATTTTTTTTATTAAAATCAAATTATAATAAATTGTACAGTCAACCCTTATTATAACGAACTCTAGGTTCTAGACCTCAACTTCGCTATAAGGCTATAGTGAAGATTTTAAGAGATTTAATTGGTTAATTTGTTATAACAAGGGGAAATTTATTATAGTTGTCTGAAAAATTCACTATATCAAGGGTTCGCTATATCAAGGTTTGACTGTATTATAAATATTTAGGATTCTATTAAAACTATAATAAATTTTTATTAAAAAATCAAAAAAAAATTTTACTTTTTTAAGTAATAATAATAAAATATAAATAAATATCAAAAATCAATTACTAAATTTTACCAAATTTTCTTAGATTTAGAATATAACAAATATAATATAAATACAGTATATTTAACAATATTATTTAATAATTTTAAAAATTTTTAAAATAAAAATAATTTTTTTTTTTTTAATGATTTATATATGCTTTATTGATATTAAGTTTATATAGACCCCTACATTAATTTACTGGATTTCATGAAATTTACTTGGTAATATATACATCTGCAAATTGAATACGGCGTAATATTATGAAAATTTACGCCTGCGAAATACTCCGTAAATTTACATGACCTTCAAAAAATTACGCAACAGTAATATTTCGTAATTTCAACGCAATATTTCGTAAGTTTACGCATAATATTTCATAGAATTACAGTGTAATATTGCCATGTATGTAAATTTTACATCGTAGAATTTCTTAGATTTACGGTGCAATATTTCAAAACTTTTCGAAAGTGTAATATTTCATAATTTTACGTCGTGGGATTTTCGTAGGTTTACGGGTGCAATATTTTGAAACTTTTTGAAAGTGTAATATTTCGTAATTTTACGTCGTAGGATTTTCATAGGTTTACGGGTGCAATATTTCGAAACTTTTTGAAAATGTAATATTTCGTAATTTTACGTCATAAGATTTCGTAGGTTTACGGTATAATATTTCAAAACTTTTCTGAAGGTATAATATTTCATAATTTTACATCGCAGAATTTCGTAGGTTTACGGTATAATATTTCGAAACTTTTCCGAAAGTATAACATTTCGTAATTTTACATCGCAGAATTTCGCAGGTTTACGGTACAATATTTCGAAACTTTTCCAAAATATTATTATTTCGCGAACTTTTTTCACAAATTCAAGTGATTAATATATGTAATTACAAAATAACATTTTTCACTGTAACTTACACGTAAT